GATAGTGTCTAACTCCCATGCTACCCGCTACGTAGCAAAATTCATAATCTAAACAGACCTGCTTAGACAGTTCCGGCAAGTCAATGCGGACTCTGACTTCCAACAGGAAGACCACGAACATACAGCCGAATTACGGCAAAGGGACAGCGTGGTGAAGACGCTTGGTGTGAGGAATGACATTACCAAAGCTTACCGAGAAGCGGAGGAAGCAGCAATCATACAATTGGAGCTACATCGAACGAAGCAAGATCTATATCATGCTGACTAGTGTGAGGAGATTGGGATGCAGGGGAAGTGGTGCGATGCTGTGTGTGACCGAGGTGCCGGTCGGGATAAGGGGGATTCGAAGATTCTCTACCATATGCGGGCGTTTTCTTACGGGGTTGGGACTATTTTTGGACTGATTTATATGGCACACCGCCGTTTTCCTTTGTATTTGAATTTCTATCCGCACAGCTGGCGTTGGAATAGCTCTTGCTTCCGCTGGAGGAAGCGCCTGCATAGCCATTATGCCCCTAGTTAGGCTGCATTAGGTTTATAGAGTTATTGATTGATTGATTGATTGATTGATTGATTGATTGCGGGGTCGCGCGACGGAGAATGAGAATCACCCGTTCTCACCCAGCTTTCGCACCCTGTGTATTAGGCACTCGCCCTACCCACTCCCAGTTTAGCCATACCAAAGTGGTAGACACCACTCAGTGAAGGTCGATAATCTTATTTTCCATTAGTCTACTTCACTCTACTCCTGGATCCGCCTGTTACATACGACCACAGGGTGTGGAGAACAGGGCTTCCCGTCCGCTCAGCCGTACTTAAGCCACACGCCGGCAGGTTAGTAGTTGGGTGGGTGACCACCAGCGAATCCCTGCTGTTGTATGTTTTTGCCTTCTTTTTCTGGCCATACTGGGATTGTTCGGAGAGGCTTAATTGATTCTCCATCGACAGACTAGGTACATACAAGATAGTCATGTCGTTGCTATCAGGCGGTGGGCTAAAGCAGTCCCTAGAAATCCGGTACCTCTGGTCATTACGATGGACCTATTGTTACAAAATTGCCACATCTTTCTCCTCATAGAACTTGAGTCTACAGTGAGAAGAGATAGGAGTGATACTAATCGTTGAACGCCTCTGTGCAGGTGGTAGAGGACAGATATATTTGAAGATTGCTTCTGGAAAAAGGATTACGGTTGCTGAATTGAAGTTGCTTGTAGTATTGCGTATATTATTGGATCTCTGAGTCTTAAGATATAACAGGGTAATCCTGAAATTATTTCCCGGGAGGGATGTCACGATACGTGCATTCAAATGTTGCAAGTTAGCTCCATCTGGATACTGCCGGAATTTCTTGAATCAATCTGCAGGAATCTATGTAGATACGCATGTGGTCATATGCATATGCTGAGATTTACCGCGAAATTACCTTCAATAACTTGAAGTGATTGCAAGTCAATGCTAGGGGCTATTTACACTGCGTAGTATTACTAGTCTCATCTCCAATGGTTGATAATCGACGATGAAACTCCTGGCTTACGATTCAAATGTTGCATTTCACTCATTTCATTTTTGCTGTGATCACAATTCTTTTCCTTTCCCACAAAATGGAGATCGGGTGTCAAGCTACAGGTATTCAGTCAGACTCATCTCTACAAAGCTTAAATGTCGGCTCAGTTTTATCTTTGAAGTAGTTCCATTTGTGTTATTCTCCTAGGCAGTAAATTTGATATATCTGATCACCCAAGCTTCCTGGCCAGAATATGACACAGGCATGGTGACTGAAGATGATCAACAGATCAACATACGTATGCTACATGTTATGAAGCTTTGCAGCCTCATCTTCATCCCTCACCGATGTAGAGTTAGGCTACGCAGAGTTGAGACACCAGTGTCAGTGAAAAGAGCTCCACTTCATCCCAGAGAGCCCTTGGTGACCTACCGTCCGAGCATTTTATGCAAAGGATCTTTGAGCTAAGTAAAGGCTTATCAATATGTCAACTAGTAGGACGCGAGTCGCCTAAAGGTTTACCTTAAAAGCAAGTGGGGTTGATGCTAAATAGGCACAATCTGTGGATCTGTATCTCCCACATAGCCTGGCCCGGGCTTAATCGGGTTCCTTGCATTGATTCAATAATCCTTGTCTTTTTCGATTTTGAACCCCGCGCCTATTATATACTTCATTTACATGGGTTCTGTTTTAATTCCACACATCGGCTAGGATTCTGTCTTTGTCGATTATCAACTTGCATGACTCCGAGCTTATGATTGCAAGACTTGCTCAGTGTCAGTGGTAAGCTTGAGTAGATCTGATAAGAGCCGGCCCGTATACTATATACTAGGAAATGATTGGTCGCCATTTTAAATAAATGCCTGGATTCCAATTGTAACACGCCTCTAATAAAGGAGCTTGGATCTATGCAATATTGAGGCGGTCATTTCAGGCAGCTTTTGGATCTATATCATCTAAATCTGCGGGTAGTAATATAGATATTGTTTAGAGAATCTCAACTGATAAGCCACATACTACGGCAAGGTTAGCCACAATTAGAATCTAGATAGGAGTCTCGGCTATTCTAGGGGTACCTATAAGGGGTATACGTCATAGGCAGCGTGTAAAGGATTCCGCATAGAATACTTCTATAGCTCCCTAATTACCTTACCCCTCCTACCCCGCTTGACATTTCATGTAGCAAAGAGGATGAAACGCATTGTGAACGACTGAGAGCGTGCTCTCGCTTGCTCGAATCAAAAAGGAGACCCGTACCTCATTGAGCCAAAATAAATCTCGGACACGCTCTATATGAAGGTGGATCGACAACCTCCCCAAAGAACTTATTACCTTTTCCCAGACCCTACTATGAAGATCCATGTTAAATGGGCAATTCTTGGGTCACTGAGACAATACTTATAATAATCGATGATCAAGTAAGATAAGCAATCGATGTGTGGATACCTGCGCGTGGCGGAAGCACAATTTCTTTACACGGCAACAATCAACTACAATAGTCAGATTCAAGAAATGCTAAACTCCCAGATTGGTGATTTTCGGCCTTTCAAGGGCTCGTATGGGCCCCAAGGCAATGGTTCTGTATTTGATGTTGAGTGTAAACTTCCAAGGTTATATAGAGCTAATGGATTCCTTCCAGCTTCCCTTAAATATGAACCATCCTAGTAGGATTAATACAAAGGATCCCCACTAGAATCGACTCGAAAAGTTAGATCTTCCCAATTTTGGCAACACTTGCTAGGTATTCTAACGTAGTTTCAATGCACATGAAGAGAAAGAAAAGAGGAAAATAAAAAATCATTTCATTGCACTACATTCAATTTCCGTTCTATTGACTTGATTTGATAAAGTACGAGGCCGAGAAAGATGCATAGAATTAGCTCGAATTCCGGATGTCCCCCCGGGTGTAGTTGAGCTGCAAGAATTAATGCCCTCTTGTGGTGTTTAGAGAATTTGTGGGATAGATATAATAGGCCTCCTCCATATCGGCAATCGCAGTAGCCCTGATTTAGTCGCAATACTAAAATGTCAGTTATGAAGTGATAATTATAAAACTTATAATTTTTGTGACTATTCAACTTACACCTAGAATCGTCAGCCAACACTACTAGGCACTAATCTATATACCTCACGTCTCTTACTGTACAATGCCTGCCTATTGACTAAGATATCACAAGGCTTCACGTAGAATCGACACCTCAACCTTGTTCTGAATAGCGTGTTTTATATTAGGGTCTGGAAGTTCAAGTCGAAGAATTTAGAGGTAAATCTGTTATCGATTATTACTATACATAGGGGCCAACATTGATCCATCCTCAACTAGAATATAATTACACGGGACAAGACCCGTATGATAATATCGATAACGTAGTTGACGGTAGATCTCAGTATCAGAGTTGAGGGCTACGTCAACTTCAGGCACGTATGGCAGAGCGAACGTTCGCTCGCTTTGAGGGTTTAGGGAAAAGACAAGAAAAAAACACAAAAACATACAACAGTCAGGATTCGCTGGTGGTCACCCACCCAACTACTAACTGACCGGCGTGTGGCTTAAGTACGGCTGAGCGGACGGGAAGCCCTGTTCTCCACACCCTGTGGTCGTATGTATTAGGATTTGCCTTAAAGCAGAATATGTGTAGAGCAAATTAATAGAATTGAACCCGCGTTACTCTACTAGGGTTGTTTCTTACTACTTATTGCAGTGGGGAAACGGCCAACACTAGGGAGGTCTCTGATTAGAGGATATCTTTCTAGTACACAGACTTTACAGGATATAGCTTCGCATCTCCGATAGGGAGAGAATCAACTTTCACACTCTCTTCGCTTCATCTGCTTCTGCTTTCCCTTTGGGAGGCTTCCTCTATCGTGGTATGTGGTGGTTTGTTGGTCTGTTCGCCGACCTATCTCATCCTGCCTGTATTCTCAGGCTTGCCGTAGAGCGCCCTGGTTCAGTGGGGAGGCTGCCTAGCGTGCTAGGGCGTAGGATTCTAGGAAGTCGAGCTTATCGATATAGTTATATCCTAGGCGAGCTTGCGCCTCGATTAAGCGACCATATGAACGCTTTAATATAGCAAACACCCGATATTGAGAGGCTGTAGAAGATGTGACGAATGCGGTAGTATATAGAGGGGTATAATATTGTTTTGCTAGCAGATTTGATCGAATTGTAGTGTTGAATAACTACTATAGCTGTCTAATCATCTAGGCGAGTGTTATTGCATCTAACATAGTGTTAGTATCAAAGGCAAATCGATTGAGAAAAGTCAAAAATAAGCACTGTGGTTAGGATATGCAATACAAACAACAACTTGTACTTCCGTATAATTTTAACTAGGATATACATTACGATAATAATATCTAGGTTGGTAAATATTAGCGTGTCTACCTACTCTACAACTTACTAAGGAGGGGCATTGGCCACATTGAAGACTCACTTATTGTTGCGGCGTTTTGCTTTCCGTCGACGCCGCCCTTGTCCTGGCTGGGGCACAATCTGCTAGGATTGCTGATCGGGCGTGGGGCGATCAGCCTGGAAGAATGCCGCGAGGGCGGGGGAGTACTGAAATGCCAGTCTGACGAGACCGGCGCAGACAGCGTCGACGAAGTCCTTGAGCGGGCATAAGAGGATTTCGACGAGCCTCATGACCGTCCAGAGCTCGATGATCTTCCACCCCACCGCGTTCATAGCCGCCCGGCCCTTCTCGGCCCCAACCTTGACGAGCTCAGCGAGCCAACCGTCATCGCCATCGTTACGCTTGGCCGCTTTGACGAACTCTTCGGCGGAGACCAGGGGCGGAGGCGGGCTATGTCTATCTATTAACCCTATCCCTGGAAAAATACAACAGTACAGCTTACAGTGTGCTGAGGCGGGGGGGGGGGGGGGGGAGGCAGGCGAAAGCAATAGGCTTGGACCAGGCGACCATAGTGTGCTTGGTGTGAGGGTGCTCGGTGGTTGCTGTAGATTAACATTCTGGAAATTTTCAATCCTAGTGAAAAGATTCGAAGCTATGTTTTTCGATGGCAGTAGCTACTGGACTCTTGTAGAAGAAAATGGGGAAAGAACGTGGGTAATTCATGATCCTGTGGTTGAATACACAGATTTGAAGTGACGTCAAGCATCACCAGATTTCTGCATAGAATCTTAGTAATGTTCAGCAAGTCAGGCTGATAGAACAGATGATTTCTGTGAAATGTGTGTTGATTGGAAAGAGACTCTGATCTGGCACTACCTAACATGAAGGCCGCAAGCGCTAGGTCACCTGACCTAACAGAGGCAATTCAACTTGAAAAGTAAAGTGTTCGAGATTAGGTGTTAGGTAGTCCATTACATAAGTGCGAATCCACGTGATTCGTACTTCGATATCTTCGGGGCCTAAACCCCAAGACTTAGGAAGAATCCAAGACTTTACGTACTAATCACGCTTCAATGGTAGCAACCCTAGAGCAGAAAATTTTTTCTGCAGTGTAATACGTCCTTCCGAAGGTCCTTCAGGAAGCCCGTTAAAAGTCTTCATTCCCTGTTGTTAGTCTGTTATTTTTTCGTGTTCGTGATTCGTCGTTTCGGTTGCGGTTGTGAACCACGGACCCCGCTAGTTCCACCCTATCAGAACGGCGGTCGTACCCGCGGATCTGCGACGATCCTGTTATTCCGTGTTAGTGTTTTATCCTTTTCGTCCTTCCGATCGTGTTTACGATCCCCGATACGCATTCCCTACGAGCCTTGCGCCCTCGTTGAGTAGCGGTTATATACCCCTTATTGAGTAGTAACCCGACGCGGAAGGCGCGTCCGAATAACGACATCTATTCCCCCGAACCGCTAGCAGCACTCGTTAGGTTCCTAACTAGCAACCTTTTTTGCTAGAAACCTAGCCCCTATACGCATAGATCCTAACCTTCTATAATTTATCTCCTATTTCCTAGTTATTAGCGAGAGCGCCGGTCGTACTCGACGTTCAGGTCCTGCTGTAGTGCTATACCTACTAGATTAGGTTATAGACACTTCGACCTTACGGAAAGCTATTAATACCTTCGTCGCTAAACACGCGGAAAGTATAGGCGTAACCGACAAATCTTAGAAGCAACTATCTTCTACCCCTACACCTAGGATATCCTTAAGTTCGACTCGACTATCGGAAACTCCCACGACACCTTAGGACGCTACCCCTACCACGGTAGCCGCCCCCCGTGCCTAACAGTAGGTAGAACGTAAAGTTAGCGCGCGTCCTCTTGTAATACGCCCGCGCTCCGTAACAGAGTCTGCGCTTATAGAACGATTCCCCGATAATATTAACGCTAGTCGGGCGACAGTACCGCCGCCGCCGCCGCCGTCGAATTAGTCGAATCTCTATTAGCGCCTAGCAGATAATCTCTATAAAACCCCCTATTAGTCTAAAGGCGGCCGTTAACCCCTGAGACCTATACCCCTATAAGCCCTACTATCCTTGCATTAATCGGAAGTATCGTATTAATCCCTACACGGGCTACTAAACCAGCCTATCGGTAGCACGTTCGGTACTTAGCTAACCCCCTAGCAGTACGGTTACGGTGCTCCGTATCAGGATAGACGTTACGGAGGATTTCTATATACGCTGTTCGTAGCGCAATTTCTAGGTCCGTCGTATCCGCCTCTACTACCGCCGCCCGGTCAGGCGTATCCTTATACCCTACCACCGACGGTTAGAGCTAGGCTGGATAATATACGACGTTAAATAGAATAAATGCGAAATAATATTACCGCTATAGCTGCTAGAGCTAATAGACGCCCGCAGCGTCGTGGCCGTCGTGACCCCTCCTTATCGCCGAGCAATAGGAGCTCGGACGAGGATAAGGCCCGAAGCCGTTATTATCGTTACACACGTTCTCGATCGCGCGAGGCTCCTAGATTACGCATATCTATATCGCGTTCGTGCTCTCGCGACAAGTTCCGCGATCGAGACGTTGGCTATTTCGAACTAGATAACACTAAACCCTTCCTGGAGATTTGCGATAAACAGCGGGTCTACTATAATATTTATAGCTTTATACGTGCCGCGAGGCTCGCTGAAGTGAATATTAAACCGTTATCGATAAGACACCGCTTCCCCTAGTGCTTTTTGGGCAAAGCCGCGATATAGTATAAACAAAGTGTATCCGACTTAGAGCGATTATCCCTAATACACGCTTCGGATATAGATACGTAGTATAACGCTCTACGTGAACGCTTTAGTATGCCCGTTACTAAAGCCCGTAATCTCTATAATAAACTCGAGTATACACTATACGATATGTACGGTAAGGTAGACCTAGATAAATTTCTTTAAAAGGTTGTCGTATACGGCTAGGAGGCGCGAGAAGCGACAATAGAATATGCTTAGGCATAGGCTGCTTATAACAAACTCTCCGCGTTACTACAAGTCACGCTCACGCCCCTAACAGATACTACGACGATCACTGAATTCGTACGCTAGGTTAATACGCGCAAGAGTTAGTAGTTCGAATGCTATAAACGCCGAAACGTGAGTACCCCTATCCCTAGAAACCGGCTAGATCGAACTATACGGAACCGAGCGTAGGAACGATACCCTAAGGACGCTTCGCGAAATAATCGGTTCCGGTAAAAGGATCGCGCCCCGAGGGAAAGGGCCCTATTGAAGAATTCAAGCGGTAACAATATTAGGACACCGCGTGTCGCTACTAATTCGTACCGCCCCCGATACGATAAAGATCGCGATAAGCGAGCGGACCCCCCCTCGCCGTAGCGACTACCGCTGTCCCGATAGACGCGACGTTCGCGACCCTAACCGACTACGTGTATACTACGCTTAGGACGAGTCAGGCGACGAAGTTACCGACGAATCGTTATCTAAGGAAAACGACGTAACTTAGAATAAAGCTGAATCTAGTAGCGATAAAGCGGCGGCTTATACAGCGCAAGTAGTATATTCGACTGCGACCGCGGCTACTAGGACTAGTCGTAATTATAAGCTGTAGAGCACTATTACACTACTAGTTCGGCTAGACCTTACCCGCGATCCCGTTATTATAGTCTACGATACTAGCTGCGGTATAACCCTTATCGACCGGAAGGTGGTTACGGAGGAGATACCTAATACAGAAATAAAAATATTACCGGCGGTAATAATAGTGAAAGGTATCGGATCCCGTAGGCACGCTACCTCCGAGTATCTTGTTGTGTATTACTATATCGACGGTACGAGCGACGGACGCCTAGTCACCGCTCACTTCTAGCGCGAAATGCACGTTGTCGATAACCTTGCGCCTAGTGTACTTATAGGCATAGATATTATTACCCCTAAACGTATTAGTCTAGACATCGTTCGCAGACGCTTAATCTTCAATTATTACGATCGTATGATAGTTAATATCACACTCGTAGTACCTAAGAGACCTAAGGTGCCCTATGTTCGTGCTAAACAGCGTGCGGTAATACTAGCATATTCCGTTTCTATCGTGCCGGTAGATATATTAAGTACCGATAATACCCCTCTCTATAGCGATATGCTGTTTATTCCGTAGTACAATAAAGCTACCGAGTATATCGAGTATATCAGCGGCTTCTATACACAGACCTTAGAAATTAAGCCGGACGTAAGGATTGCGGTCCGCAATAACTCCGATAAGGATCTTGTACTAGCCCGTTATACCTATATTAGCTTCGTCGAGCCGTTCGATAAACGTAACGCGTATAATATCGCCGCGGATATTACGCCGAGTTATCCTATACTTACAGACAGTAACGATACTCTATACTCGTAATAGAACGGTGTTACAATATATACGGATAATAAATAATACCGTAAGAAGATTATCGATATTCTCGAAAGGTACGCGAACGTCTTTCAAGATAAACTAGGGCTTGCAAGAGTGCCTAATAATTAACGTATACGCGTGCCTCTTAAGGAGAATTAGCAGGCGGAGCGGCCCCCGACTAAGCTGTACCCCCTGTCGGCTAAGGACCGTGCGCTAGTCGATAACTGCTTCGATAAGCTTCACGCTTAGGGCCGCATGAAATAGAGCGACCGCGGAACCTAGTTCGGTTTTCTAGTATTCGTCGTCTAGCGAACCTTGAACACTAGCGAACGAAAACCTCGGGTCGTTGTAGATTTCCGAGGCCTAAACAAAATCTCGATACGCGATTTATATCCGCTACCTAGGCAGGAAGATATCGTCAATTTCGTGAGGGGGAGCTACTTACCTATCCGTCTTCGATACGTTACAGTTCTTCTATTAGTTCGGTGCGTATCCGAGCGATTAGTATAAACTTGCTGTAAATTCGCATCGTGGCCAAGAATTTTTTACAGTAGCACCGATAGGCTACTATAACAGCCCCCTATATGCGCAGAGACAGGCGGACCGCATTATACGCGGCCTATAAGAATTTATACGGGTCTACGTAGACGATTTCGTGCTGCGAGCGATAGGACTAAGCGAGCATCTAGTATACCTAGATCGCTTCCTATACACGCTAGCCGAGGCTAATATGACGGTCAGCCCTAAAAAATCCTTTATAGGATTCCCTAGTGTCCGCATGTTAGGCTACTTCGTGGACGGGTTAGGCCTTACTTCCTTGGAAGAAAGGGTGCAAGCGATACGGGATATCAAGGAACTAGCGACGCTATTAGACCTAGAGCATTTCCTCGGTGTCACGGGCTACCTTCGCGACAAGATTCCGAGATATACGGAAATAGCGGAGCCCCTCTAGCTTCGCAAGACTACACTCCTAAAGGAAGCCCCTGTCAAGGGACAGCAGCGAAAAAAATATGCTCGGCGCACGGAGTATACCCTTACCGACGCAGAACGAGTATCCTTTAACGCACTTAAGGATCTAATCTGCCGTCACTAAGTAGTCACGCATACGGACGTATCACGTATCCTATATATTGACCTTGATGCTTCGAAACGAGCATTCGGGGTGATAGTCTAC